GAGGGTGTGGGTATGCGGGCCTGGTGTCTGTCCGTTGTGTGTCCTTGACCCGAGTGTCTGTCCCACCTGCAGGTCCTCTCCGGATGTGGAGTTTTTGATGGATCTGAAATTCACGAGGCTTCAGCGTAAGACCATTTTACACAAAAGTTAACCTCATTTCAAACACAAACTGCCAGAGATTAATCCCCTCCACCATCTAACCCTGTGCTGTCCTTGTCCTGGGACTGTTTGATGGGGGACAATGTAGAGGAAGCTTTACTCTATATCTATCCCTGTCCTGGGAGTGTTTGATGGAGGGGAACAGTGTACAGGGAGCTTTACTGTGTATCTAATCCTGTGCTGTCCCTGTCCTGAGAGTGTTAGATGAAGACAGTATAGAGGGAGCTTTAAAAACAGAAAGAATTGCGGATGCTGTAGATCAGGTACAAAAATAAAGTTGCTGGAAAAGCCCAGCAGGCCTGGCAGTACCTGTGAAGTAAAAATCAGAGTTAACATTTTGGATCCGGTGACCCTTCCTCAGAACTTTACTCTGTATCTAACCCTGTGCAGTGCTATCTGGACTCTGGTGTCCACTCCAGATGAATTAATTTGATTTGTTGTGATTTAGGATTTTGGTTCACCTGAGTCGTGGAGGGGCTGAGTTCCAGGTTTATGCTCCTGACATCCCGCAGATGCACGTTGTGGATCATGTGAAGGGTGAGCCTGCTGGTGATAGCCGGTGAGTTAGTTGTGGACTGTGTGTACAGTCTGAACACTGTGAGGGTCGGAACATGCCTGTGTACTGAGAGTATGTTGTTTGTGGACATGTTTCTGAGCCTGATCTAGAGGGGCCTGTGGTCTTGTGGCTCTCCATACCACCCCAGGGTGATAAATAACCCAATAGAATGTGCCATAATCATGAAGTTGGCTGTATAAGGAAACACAATGTGCTGGAGATCCTCAGGAGGTCTTGTAGCTGCTGTAGAGAGGAGCAAAGTTATCAGTTCAGATTGATGGCCTGTTACTAGATCGGCGAACCCTGAGAAATGGAACATGTCAAACCAGGCAAACAACACACAGGAGGTACCAAAGGGATAATTCTTTGGTGGCTTGGTAGGGAGGTGAGATTACTTGACAAGCATGGCAATCATGAAGATGATAAAATTGAAATGGCACAGAAAAGGAAATAAATCCAGTGTCTGGTTGATAGGAATGTCATGGAGTCTGTGTATAACGGCGTTTGCAGGAGAACAGAGTAGTGAGTGGAAAAACGAAGATCATGGGGGTACTCAGCATCAAGGACAGCGTGCAAAAGGAGCACCTGGCGTTTCAAGCAATGAGGGCAAGGTAATGGATTAAACACGGGGGCGAGGGATGCGCATGGATTAAACACGGGGGCAAGGGGAGGCACTGATTAAAACAGAGGGGGGTCCAGACGGTCACGGATTAAAAAAAGAGGAGGTTCCAGTAGGGTCAAGGGCAGAGTGAGATGCTCCAGTCCCAGAGCGGCACAAGGTGAAGTGAATCCCAGTACAGCGCAATTTACCTTGTTGCTGCAAAGTGCCGGTGAAGAGCAGTCTGGAGGCTGGAGTGATGCGGGACAAATTGTTGGACTTGGGCCTGGTGCCACATGCTGAACTGCTGCTGTTTGGAACTCTTCACCGGACTGTAATTTAAATCCCTTTCACAATGTTATAACTACCTCATTCCTAACACATTCTCAGACAATGTAAGTGACGCTTATGCTTTCCTTTTAATCCTCTTTTGAATAACAACATTGTATTTTCTTACTGGAATACAAGTGACAATAAAGCATATTCTATATTCCATTCTATTCCTTAAACAGGAGAGGGTCCAGGATGGTCATGGAAATATAACAGAGAAGGGTCACAGATTAAAACGCCAAGAGGAGGGAGGAAATGTAGCAGCAGTAAGTTGAGGGACCCTTGGATGTCTAGGACAATTCAGGACTGGACGAGGAAGAAGAGATAGGCTTTTAGCAATTCAGCTAAGGCCATAGAGGAATACGGGAAGAGCAAGAGGGCATTTAATAAAGCAATTAGAAGAGTGAAAAGCAGGCATAAGAAAGAACTTGAAAACAAGATTAGGGAGAATCCTGAGATATTTTACAAATACTTTAAAGGGAAAAGGTCAGCCAGGGAAAGGGTAGGCCCATTAGAGACCAAGGGGGCAAACTGTGTGTGGAACCACAGGATATTGGAAGGGTGTTAATTGAATACTTCTCTTCAGTCTTCATTTTGGAAAAGGAGAACATAGGTTCAGAATTCAGGAAAAGAGATTTGCGCAGTTTGACATAGGAAATGGGGAGGTATTAGAAGTTCTGTCAGGATTAAAAATGGAAAAATACCCTGGCCCGAATGAATTGCATCTCAGGCTCTGTGGGAGGGGAGGCAGGAAATTGAAGCAGCTCTGACACAAATTTTTAATTCCTCTCTGGCTACAAGAGATGGCTAATGTTCCAATTTTTAAGAAGGGTGGTAGAGACAAACCAGGAAATTACAGACTGGTGAGTCTCACGTCTGTGGTCGGGAAACTATTGGAGAAAATTCTGTGAGAGAAAATTAGTATCCACTTTGAAAAGCAAGAATGTGGAGGTGCCAGTGTTGGCCTGGGGTGGACAAGGTCAAAAATCTCACAACACCAGGTTATAGTCTGTGAAGCAGCATCAGAAGAGCAGAAAAGTCAACGTTTTGGGTTTGTGTAAACCCTCTTGTTTCCTTTTGCGCTCTATCCTTTTTTGAGTGGGAACAGTTTCTCTGTTGAAAGTAATCTGTAGATTTGAGGTCCTGCTTGATAATTTTATACCCAGCTCCCTAATTTCTGACTGCAGTATCATATCCCTCTTTCTACTAATGATGTTGGTACCAGTGTGGAGCATAACCTCTTTCTGTTGAAGTCCCGTGGAAGAATATCCTATATATATGGCGGGGTGGGGGTTGGGTGCAGGTTAGCACTTCTGCCTCACAGTGCTAGTAACCCAGGTTCGATTCCAGCCTCAGCTGACTGTCTGTGTGGAGTTTGCACATTTTCCCCGTGTCTGCATGGGTTTCCTCCAGGTGCTCCGGTTTGCTCCCACAGTCTGATGTGCAGGTGGTTTTGCCATGCTAAATTGCCTGTGGTGTCCAGGGGTGTGCAGGTTAGGTGGATTAGCCATAGTAAATGTAGGGTTAGGATAGGGGGGCTGGATCTGGATGGGATGCTCTGTGAATGACCTGCTTCCACACTGTTGAGATTCCATGATTCTGTAATTTAAGCTTAACCTAGGCCAAGCAGTAGCAGTAATGTAGGGCACAGACTAAATGAGGAAATTAAAGTTGCAGATAACAAGGGTCATGTTGTAGTCATGGGGGAATTTTGATCAATGTGTAGACTGTAAACCAAACTGACAGCAATGTTGTAGGGAATCAGTACTTGGAAATGAATGATAGTTTTCTACCACAGTGTGCTGAGGTACCAATCACAGAACAGGTTATGTTAGATTCGGTGTGTTTTCTCTTTGTACCCCTTAGTAATCCTTGCTTCCCTAACACCCCATCCTCCTTCGCTGTCTGCCATCACCTGCCTTACCCATGACCTCTTTTCCCATCTTACCTGCATGCTCTCTGCCTGTTTCCAGTTGTTGCTCCATTCTCTGTCTCCCCGTTCTGTGGAGATTTTTTTTGTGATCTGTTCAGACTCCTCCTCTCTCTCAGGAATGTTCTGGCCGAATCAGCCCGGATTGCTCGTGGTAAAATCATGGACCTTGCCCAGCTGAATGCCCAGGACCATGATGCTGTTATCTTCCCTGGAGGATTTGGTGTAGCCAAGAATCTGTGAGTATGACAGTCTGAGTGGCTTGTTAATGAATCAGCAGATGACAGGCACGTGCTGGGGCTGGCAATAGCTGCTTGCAATGGGTTTTGTGAGGTCTGTGGTAGGGGAAAGGCGGGAGACACAAACTGGTCATTGACATCAGTAACTTTGTGCTCAAGTGCCAAGTCTAAAACAATCAGCTTGAGTGATAGAACCTACTTGGAAGGACACATGACCAGGAAATAGATGTAAATGGGTAGGATTAGTTGGAACGACAGATACATGGCTGCAGGATGACCAGGCATGGGAAATGAATATTCAGAGGTTTTCAGTTTTAGAAAGGACAGAGAAAAAGGAAAGTGAGGTGGCATTGCTGATTAAAAAGAAAACTAATGTGAGTGAAAATAATGGGACTGCCGCACTGTCGGAGGGCCAGTGCTGAGGGAGCACCGCACTGTCGGAGGGCCAGCGCCGAGGGAGCGCCGCACTGTCGGAGGGTCGGTACTGAGGGAGCGCCACGCTGTGGGAGGGTCAGCGCTGAGGGAGTGCCACATGCTCGGAGGGTCAGTGCTGAGGGAGCACCGCACTGTCACTCTTGTGATTTTTAAGTATAAGTGCTTCCATTCTGGTAGTTAAGATGTGTAGTATATGCTGATTGCAGCAGTGAGAATGACCTATTTCTGTTGCCCCCCCAGCTCAACCTTTGCCAAGGATGGGAAGGACTGCAAAGTCATCCCTGATATTGAACGTGTCCTTAATGAGTTCCACAAGGCACGCAAGCCTATTGGGTAAGATCACAGTGGTTAGTAATGGGAACAGTTACAGGACAGAGTTAATGTGTGACTGGGAGAGTGCTGGATTAGCAACAGTCGAGATAATCAGTAACAGGGTGGTGGGAAGGAGAGGGATTACTGAGTGACAGTGTGAGGGAGCTGGATTAACATCACTTGGCTGTTTGAAATATGCTTGGTGACCCTGAAACAGAATCAGATATTGAGTTTAACATTGTCGTTTGAATGCAGTGGGATGGGTTTAATATTTGTTCCAGTCTAACGCAGATTAAAGATGGGCATGAGTGCCCTGCTCCAGTCGTGATGGAAACTGTGGATGCTGTAAATCAGAAACAAAACAGGAGTTGCTGGAAATGCTCAGCAGGTCTGGCAGCATCTGAGAAGAAAAAAAAATCAGAGTTAATGTTTTGGGTCCGGTGAATTGAGGAAGGGTGACCAGACCCGAAACGTTAATGCTAATTTTTTTCTTCTCAGATGCTGCCAGACCTGCTAAGCATTTCCAGCAACTTCTGTTTTTGCTCCAGTCGTGATGGAGCTGCTGTTTCTCCCTCTAATATTCCAGGCTGTGTTGCATCGCTCCTGTGCTGGCTGCTAAAGTCCTACCTGGAGTAGAGGTCACTGTTGGTCACGAAGATGAGGAAGGTGGGAAATGGCCATATGCTGGAACAGCAGCAGCTATTAATGCAATGGGAGGCAAGCACACAGTTCATGACGTCAACATATCCTTCACTGCAGCTTCCACGTGCTCACAGACTGGTCAGGAGGAAACACATTGTGGGCAGACAAGGAGTCTGGCCTGGGAGGACTGGGTGCTTGGGGTGGGGTGTGGCTGGGCACTGAGGGGCCGGGTAAGACTGGGCGCTCGGACAGTGGTTCTGCACGCTGTGGGATGGGGTGGACTGGATGCTGTCCCTATGCCTGCTCAGTTGGTTTCTTTAACATGTTCTTCTCACTCTGCCCACGTGGATCATCAGAATTGGGTTGTGACCACTCCTGCCTTTATGTGTGAAACAAAACTGCATCATATCTTCGATGGGATTGGCGAGATGGTGCAACAAGTCCTGAAGCTCACAGGGAAATGAGGCCATCGCTCATGATCAGTGTGTGTCGGTGTGTAAGGCTTAATGTGGGTGTTGGTGTGCAGGAGTTTGTATGTGTGTCTGTCTTGGGGGTGTTAGAGAATGTGTGTGTGTCTGACCGGGGGAAGAGTGGGACAAAGCCTCTGGATTTGAATGGTGTTTTTGTGATCATTCTGACTGGATGGAGTTTCCATGCGAGACCATCAGGGACACTATTACAGGGTGATCTTCCTTTGAAAGCACATGATTGGACAGCTTGTAGATCACTTGTGCATGTGTGTGATTGGTCACTATTGCTGTATGAATGTTGCTATACTGATTACATAGCAATAGATCACTGAGTGTCATTTCTGTTTGCAGAAATAATCAGTTGAGGCAGGGCTTTAGAGTTTGCGATTCCAGTTTTATTAAATCTGATGATCATGCAAATCTGAGTCTGTCGAATTCATTAAGTCCACCAGAGTCTGGCTGCTCCCAGCGGGAACCTGGGAATTCCAGGAGAGGAGGAAAGGAAGTATTGGTAGGGGACCGATTTTTCCAGGTGTCTGGCAACAGGGATGTCCATGTTCAGGAACATGATACAGGCCCGTCCTGAGCTTATCAGACAGGGTTCTCAGATCCGTTACAAACATCAACTGACATCCAGATTCCACATCCCACACTCACTGCCTTTCACCGGTAAATGTCAGTTTGGCACTTTCAATCCTCCCCATTCCCCCTCCCACTCCCAACCAGGTAAAGGTTGGATTCTTTCTCATTTGAGATGGTGATAGCCTGGTATTTGTGTGGTATAAATGTTACTTGCTACTTGTCAACCCAAGTCTGGATATTGTCCAGGCTTTGGTCCATTTGAACATGAACTGCTTCAGTATCTGAGGAGTCATGAATGGTGCTGCACGTCGTTTAATCATCGGTGAACATCCCCACTTCTGACCTTAATGATGGAGGGAAGGTCATTGATGAAGCAGCTGAAGATGGTTGGGATTACGCCACTACCCTGAGGAACTCCTGCAGAGATCTCCTGGAGTTGAGATGACTGACCTCCAAAAACCACCATCTTCCTATGTGCCACGTATGACTCCAACCACCTGATACCCATTGATTCCAGCTTTGCTAGGGCTTCTTGATGCCACACTTGGTGGAATGTGGAATTGATGTCAAGGGCTGTCACTCTTACTTCCCCTCTGGAATTCAGCTCTTTTGTCCATGTTTGAACCAAGGCTGTAATGAGGCCAGATTCTTGTTGAATAAATGCCACTTCTATAAAGCTGCAACATTACCAGCCAATTTTTAAACTCAATGTCCCGGCCGATGAAGGCAAGCATGCCATATACCTTGTTGACTACCTTCTCCACCTGCGTTGCCACCTTCAGTGACCTATGTACCTGTGCACCCAGAACCCTCTGCTTATTAGTACTCTTAAGGGTTCTGCCATTTTCTGTATATTTTCCATCTGGATTAGACCTCACATTTTCCAGACTCTTGATGACTCCTGTCATCATTTCACTGATGAACTACACCTGCTCATTCACTCGGCCTTGACCTTTCTCTGCCCCAATTTCCTATTCTTGTCGAAACATGATGGTGAACAGTATTGTGTAATTGCAAGCACAGTCTACTCCACCCATTCTTTTTAGCCCTGCATCTGTCTCTCCCTCACCTTCACTCTCTATTCTCGTCCTGACCTTTGTGGGCGAATGAAATTTCACACTTTCAGTCAGTGAATGTTGAGCAGAATTCATTCATCTCTGTGGAAGTGGTTTGAAAGCTCAGGTTGGTAGCCCTAAACGTGCTTAAAGATTTGTAGTGTTTTGCAGACTGTAGAGCTGTAGACTGCTGAACTGATCCTAGAACATAACATTAGTTATGCTACAGCTGGAGTACTGAGTGCAGTCTCGTTGCTGCACTATAGGAAGGATGTAATTACGCTGGAGAGGGTACAGAGGAGATTCGCCAAGATGTTCCCTGGGATGGAGTGATTCAGGTGGATAGGCTGAGTTTACTTTTCTTAGAGCAGAGAAGGCAGAGGAAGGTGTACAGAACTGTGAGGAATAAAGGGCAGATGGGGAGAAACATTTCTCCTTAGCAGAAAGGTCACAGAGTTGTGGGTATCTGGATCTCTCTCTGAAAGGGTGGTAGAGGCAGGAACCCTCAAGATATTAACAACTATCTAGATGAGCACATGAAATGCAAAAACATACAGGGCTACAGGCCCAGTGCCAGAAAATAGAATTAGAATAGATGGGTGTTTGTTGACCAGAGTGACCCAGTGGTCTGGAGAGCCTCTTTGTGCTGTAAAACTCTGACTCCATGACTAAGATTACGAAATGATTTTACACATTTTGCTGAATATCCTGGTGAATATCATCTTGAAGTCGAACAGAATGTGAGACCAACTAAACATCTGCTAGGCAATTTGCAGTTGCCCTCAAGTCCAATCTGAAATACAAGATAGAGGAGCTGGGAAGGAAGGGAGTAATCAAGTAACTGGGGGGAGGGAGAAAAAAAACCCTGGAAAGCCAAGTGTGCGCATCTGTGTAAAGGACCTCCATAAGGACTTGAAGAGATCTCACCACTCCATGCCAAGTGTTGAAGAAATTTTGACACAATGTGCTTCTGAATTGAAGTGTATGGGGAGAAAATGGGAGTATGGTGTTGAAATAGATCAGTTATGATCGCATTGAATTGTACCATTGCAGAAATTTGTTTTTTTAATAAAAATCTAGAATAAAAAGCTAGTCTAATGCTGACCATGTCTCCACTGTCTATTGTAAAAACCCATCTGGTTCACTAATGTCATCTAGGGAAGGATATCTACATGTGACCCACAGCCATGTGGCTGACTGCACAGGAGGGATGACCAATAAATGATGGTTTTCCCAGTAACACTCATATCCCATGAACAAATAATAAAGAAATCCAGCAATGAATTTGCTTTATTTATAATCAGAATGCGAACCTGTATGGAAACATACTGCTAAGGATGCATGTTCTCTGATATCTCTGTCCATATGTTTTGAAGGTGGTGCTACAATAGGACACAAGGTGGAGCTTGTCCACTCTGTCAATTACTTTTCTTTTTTACCCTTTCCTGTTTCTCTTGTCTTTTTTTTCTCCTCTTTTGTTAACCACCTGGTGTCGGAACTGCCTGCCGCCGACCCCGTCGTCTTGGTGCTTTGTGGCCTCTGATCTCTGAACCTCTGACCTATGAACTCACAGCATCTGACCTTGGAAACCCTGGCCGCTGAGTTTGCGGCCATGGATCATGCACCTTCGGATCTCCTGGCCTCCACACAGACCTGACAAGGCCCCATCCTTTCGGCCTGGCGTTGAGGCGTCCCTGCCCAGCATGACAGTGTCTTGGGCCGGCATGGAGTCTGCTCGGCCTACTTTGGACTCAACTCGGACTTGAGGTGATTCCAGAGTGATCCACTGGCCTTGTGATCCCTGAGGTGAAGGCCGATGCAGTCTGGAGTCAAGGCCCAGTGCAGATGGGACACTAGGTGCCAGTATGGACTGGGGTGGAAGCCCGTTGTACTGAACTGTTCTTTCCCATTGTATAAGTTATTGCTAAAATTTGCAATGTTGGACTTTTTACCTCTGTTTTTCTAAGAACTGTAACTGAAGAAGCTGTACCTAAGGACCCTGTACTAAGATGGCGCTATAAACAGTGACTTATACACTTTTCATTGTCCTCATTCGAGTACATGACGATAAAGCTCATTCGATCACTCTAATGCCCCAATTACTGTTGCTGTCTATATTCTAATGCTCTTATCCACTCTGTTCCTCTGCCCCAACCACTCTAATGCCCCATCCACTTTCTGATGCCACTGTCTGCTGTTTAATACCCCTGTCTGTTCTTTAATGCCCTATTCACTACCCTCAGTTATCGAATCATACAGCATGGAAACAGACCTTTGGACTAACACGTCCACACCGATCAGATATCCTAATCTGGCCGAGTCCCATTTGACAGCATTTGGCCCATATCCCTCTAAATCCTTCCTATTCATGTACCCATCCAGATGCCTTTTAAATGTTGTAATTGTACCAGCCTCCATCACTTCCTCTGGCAGCTCATTCCATGCATGCATCACCCTCTGTGTGAGAAAGTTATCCCTCAGGTCTTTTTTAAATTTTTCCTTTTTCACATTAAATCTATGCCTCTTTAGTTTTGGACTTCTCTACCCTAGGAAGAAGACCTTGGCTATTCACCCTGTCCATGTCTCTCATGATTTTATAAACTCCTATAAGGTCACCCTTCAGCCTATGACATTCCAGCGAGAAAAAACTATTCAGCCTCTCCCTGCACCCTCTCAAGTTTAACAACATCCATCCTACAGAAGGGTGACCAGAATTGTACACAGCGTTTTAACTGTGGCCTGTATAGCTGCAGCATGACGTCCCAACTCTTAAACTCAGTGTTCTGACTAGTGAAGGCAAGTGTGCTAAACACCTTCACCAGCCTGTCTATTTGCAACTCCACTTTCAACGAACTTTACACCCGCACTCCCTAGGCCTCCATGTTCCATAACACTCCCCATTAACTATAAGTCATGCTTTGGCTTGCCTTTCCAAAATGCAACAGCACGCATTTATCTAAATAAAACTACATTTGCCACTCATTGGCCCATCTAATCAAGGTCCTGGTGTACTTGAGATAATCATCTTCACTGTCCGCTACACCAGCTATTTCACACTAATTCTGTTCGCTGCCCCTGTCCACACATGAATGTGACTAATCTCAGATTTCCTGGCACAGTCTTTGATGTCCTGGCCCCAGTTCACTCTCTAATGCGCCTGTTCCTGTAAACTGCCATCACTCCTCTCCACTGTCCCATCCACTCTCTGATGCTTCTGTTAATTGTCTGCCTTGGTCCACATTCTGCCCCTGTGTACTGTCCTGTTCACTTTCTGATACCTCTGTCTGCTGCCCCTGCCCACTCTCTGATGATCCTGTCCATTGCCCCTGTATGCTGACCTTGATCACTCACTGATGCCCCATCCACTGCTCTCTGTCCACTGTCTTCTCTCTGCTATCTAATACCCCATTGACTGGCCTTTATTGCTTCTCTGGTGCTTCTGTCCACTCTGAAATGATCCTGTTTTGTCACCCTCTGTCCTTTGCCCATTGCTTGCTATGCCTTTCACTCAATGCAATTTGGCAGCTGCACCTTGTTTTGACTCAGGTCATATCCGGTGTATCTGGTGATGCCAGAGCTGTGGAATCTGGAATTAATGGGAGAGGAGTCTGAGGCTCAGCTGAAAATGGTGTCTTACGCAGCTACAGACCTCCTTATAATTTTCCACTGAGACCCTCACTCTGCCTAGACCCTTGGGTGTGGGCTACTGGACCATGACCTGATGTGCTGCTCAAATTGTAAGCTGTGTAATGTCAGTGAGAGAACTGGTTAAAGACGAGCTGC